GGCTGTGTAGCTGGGTGGCGGCCCCTGCACTCTTCCTCCTCCTCTTGTTATTTCCTCTTTTTCCTCCCAGATTTCTCCTCTATATATTCTCTCTGTCTGCCAGCCCTGCCTAGCCTTTCTCCTGTCCTACTATTGGCTGTTCAGATCTTTATTAGACCACCAGGTGTTTTTGACAGGCACAGTAACACAGCTTCACAGAGTTAAACAAATGCAACATAAACAAAAGTAACACACCTTAAAATAATATTGTACAACAAAGGAGGATGAGGCAGTTGGTCACATTGTATCCAGTCAAAAAGATACAGCCCATCCATCAGGGCAGTTACACGGGAGGGGAGGGTGAGACAGTTGGTCACATTGTATCCAGTCTGAAGCTGAGAACGGACAATAAAGTTCTGCCCATAATGACCCACTTCTTCCATCAATGTTCTACAACCTAAAGGCTCCATTGCTTTCCAGAAGAGCACTACCATCTAGGGACCAATTGTTCAAACATATAAGCCTATGAGAAACACTTTACAATCAAACCTACACAAAACCTAAATTCTTGGAAAAAATATAGCATGCTTATGGACTAGAGACCAACAGTATAAAAGTTTCAATTCTTAATAAATTGCTATCAAAATCCAGCAAGATTTTTTTTAAATAATTTTAAAATTATTTAAAATTATTTAAATTTTAAATAAATCATAAAATCATGAAAATTGTACATATGGCATTTTAATGCATACATACATTGCATGCTGTTTAACTCAAATATTTATCCTTTCTTTGTTGAACACTTTTTAAATTTCTTCTTCCATTTCTGTGAAGTGTGTGGTATATGATGTCATCCAATCACAATTTATTTGTCAAAATTCTGGCTAAAATCAAGTCCTTCAAGTTACTTTTGTAGATCAAGTTTCTTGTAGATTTTGCATACAAAGCGAAAGTGTCCAGAAGAGAGCCAGGTGCTTGGTTTTTTTTTTTTCTTTTGGTTTTGTTTTGTTTCTAGGGGACTTTATTATTTTTATTTTATGTGATTATGAATGTATGTCTGCACACCACATGCATGCAGTGCCTGCAGAGGCCTGAAGATGGTGTTTTATCCCTTGAGACTGGAGCTGCAGAGTTGTGAGCTGCCATGTGGGTGCTGGAAATCAAACCTGAGTCCTCTGGAAGAGCATCATTGCTCTTAACAGCTGAGCCCCGAGAGGCAGGTTTCAAAGAGAATAAAATGGAGGGAATGGATACCATTCTTGGTATCGAGTGTTGCAGCTCTGGTAAAAAGATAGCCCGAGCAGAAAGATGGGCGAAACACGAACTTGTGGAACAGAACAAAGATGTCCAGTTACCATTTTTCACATATTTATTCATTGTATGGCGGTGTGTGGGTGCACCATGTCACCATGTCATTTGTGTGAAGGTCAGAGGGCAAGCTACAAGGGTTGTTTCTCTCCTAAGGATTAATCTCAAGTCATTAATGCAGCCCTCAACTAATATTCTATAAGTAAGTAAAAATGATACAATCATTAGACACGGTCTTTTAAACAAATGGGTTAGAGTAATCAAACATCCCTAGGGAAAAAACAAAACAAAAAAGTAAAAAAATAAACAAACAACAACAACAAACACACACACACATAAACACACACACACACAAACACACACACACACAAACACACACACACACACACCTGGCGGGATAGATCCTATGATTAAAGGGGTTTTCCCAGGGTGAGATATGCTGAGTCCCTCGAGTTCCCAAATATGGGAACCCTGACTACATATTTGCATAGTGGGGATTGCTTTCTCACTTAAGAAGAAGAAAGAACAAAAACCTCTATGTATCTTACATGAAGCCAACTTCAATGGACCATGGGCTTAAACTAAAATAGAAAATTACAGAAATTTTAGAGGTGACCCAAAGAATAAAGCCTCCAGAATCTACACCAAGGCAAAGAATTCCTATATTTGGCCATAAAAACATAATCCACAAGGGGTAAAATTGAAAACTTTGACTTTATAATAATCTAAAACATTTTACGTGATGTAGGTTCTATGATGACAATTAGGGTAGTCACTAATCTGATTATAGGGCAAGTTCAGGCACCCTATCCATTATTGCTAGGAGACTTAGTTGATGTCATTCTTGGGGATTCTTGGGGATTTCCCTGGCACCAAGTTTCTCCCTAGCCCACTAATGGTTCTCTCTACCAAGATATCTCTTTCATTGCTCTCCCTCTCCATCCCTCCCTTCACTTGGCCATTTCAGTCCCTCCTGTTCCCATATCCCATCTCTTCCCTTCTACCCATCTCCCAGTTTACCCAGGAGATCTTAACTATTTTCCCTTTCTGGGGCTTCCCATGTGCGTCCCTCTTAGGTCCTCCTTTTTACCTAGCTTCTCTGGGGTTGTGGATTATAGCCTGGTTATCCTTTGTTTTGTGCCTAATATCCATTTAAGAGCAAGTACATACTGTGTTTGTCTTTCTGGGTCTGGGTTGTCATAATAGAACCTACATCCAGTAACTGATGGAAGCAGATGCAGTGATCCACAACCAAGCACTGGGCTGAGCTCCTAGACTTCAGTTGAAGAGAGGGAGGAGGGATCACAGGAGCAAGAGAGGTCAAGATCATGATGGAGAAAACCACAAGGACAGCTGACCCAAGCTTATAAGCAAGAGCTTATGGACTCTGGACTGTCAGCTGGGGAACATGCATGGGACCTAACTAGGCCTTCTGAATGTGAACATAAGTTATGTGCTTAGATCTGTATGGGGAGCCCTGGCAGTAGGACCAGGACTTATCCTGGGTGCATGAAATGGCTTTTTGGAACGCATTCCTTAGGTTGGGATAACTTACTCAGCCTTAACACAGGGAGTAGAGCTTGGTCCTGTCTCAATTTAATATGGTAGACTTTGTTGACTCCCCAAGGGAGGCCTTACCCTCTCTGAGGAGTGGATGGGTGGGTGGGATTGGAGGGGGGGCAGGGAAGAGGAGGGAAGGGGCACTGGAATTGGTATGTAAAATGAAAAAAATTTAAAGAAATAAATTTTATAAAGTTTACTTTTTGTGGTAGTTTGAATGTAATTAGCCCCCATAATTTCATAGAGAGTGGCACTATTAGGTAGCTGTAATACCTAATGAGCTACCACAATGAAATGTTGTCCTTTACAGGAGTTGCTGTGGCCATGGTGTCTCTTAATAGCAATAGAAACCCTAACTAAGACAACTTGCAAGGGGTCCTACTAAAAGAATGAAAATGTGAGCTACAGACAGGAGAAGTGTTTACATCATGGATCCAGTAAGACTGGAAACTAATATATTTTTCAAAGTCTAAAACTAAACATTGGAGAAATGAAAACTTCAGTCTTAAAATGGGCAAAACAGGGTTAAACAAATGGCAAATAAATATGTGGGAATTGTACAAATTTATTGGCTACAGGAGAAATTAAAATTATAGGAAAATATCACCTACACGTATCTGTGGTAGTTTAAATGTAACTGGTCCCCATAATCTCATAGGGAGTGGCACTATTAGGAGGTATGGTCTTTTTGGAGTAGGTGTGGTCTTGTTGGAGGAAGTGTGTCATTCTGGAGGTGGGCTTTGAGATCTCATATATGTTCAAGATACCACCCAGGGACACACATCAATTCCTGTTACCTCCAAGATGTAGGACTCTGAGCTACTTTTCCAGCACTGTCTTCCTGCACGCTGCCATGTCCCATCATGATGATAATGGACTAAACTCTAAACTGTAAGCCACCCAAGTACATGTTTTTCTTTTATAAGAGCTGCCATGGTCATGGTGTCTCTTCACAGCAATAGAAACCCTAATTAAGACAACATCCGCTAGAATAACTAAACTTTAAACATAGTTATATACTAAACACCAGTGAAAAGGAGAAGGGTCAAGTCATCATGCAGAGGTGGTGGTAACGTAAACTGGTGCACTCAGAAAAACATGTAGCCATCTTTAAAGATGAAGCAAGCTGCATTGGAGAGACAGAAGCATGAGGGTGAAGAGTTTAAGGCCACCCTGAGCTACACAGGGATATTTATCTCAAAACAAGCCAAAGAGGAGTTAAAAAAAAAAAGAAAAGGCAAAAGCTACTTATCCCAAAACCAATCACTTTCATCTTAGTCAACGAAATGAAAACTGGTCTTTAAACAACATATTTCTATAAATGTTTATAGCAGCTTTATTCATAACTATTAAAACCTGAAAGACTTAGAGGCCCTTCAATGGGTTAAACAACAGGTGTGCTCCATAATGAAAATGGACAAACTATAGATATGGACAAAAACATGGACAAACCTTAAGAAAATTACACTGGGAGAGGATATGCCTACCACGTGACTCTATTTAATGTAATGCTTATGAAAAGCATACATCACAAATAGAAATTAACTTATAGCTGCTAGGGGCTAAGGAATGGGTGTGGAGATGCGGGACGAATAGGACAGAGTAAATACTGGGGATTTTGGATCTTTAGTCCAACAATATGATTGATTATCTGTGGGGCGTTTACTCACCAACCCCACAGCTTCCCAGAGTTTTCTTGAGTGCCAGCAGCAGGAAATATTAGATAGAAGGATTTAGATTGTGGAGATAAACAGATAGAAAATAAAGGATAGCCTCGAGAGGGCCTGGAACCTTTTCCAGTGGGCCCTGACTGTCTCTGCCCCAGGGTTTTTATAGAGATGCCAAGGAGTGGAGCAAAAGACCTCCTCCCTGAGCACAGCCAAGTGCAGACCATCTCAGACACCTGCACTCAGGCCCGTCCATGGTCCTGATCATCCTCTATTCAAACCTGCTGGGTGAAGCCACGAGGAACCCGAGAACGGGCTCCCACAATTATCCTGTTTGTAACTATGCAAATCTACAAAACAGTACTTGGTACATTGCTGTGGATATTGCTCTATATAAATAAAACACTGATGGCCGGTGACCAGGCAGGAAGTAGGTTGCCAGGCAGGAAGTAGGTGGGACAAGGAGAGAGGAGAATTCTGGGAAGGGGAAGGCTGAGGGGGGAGACACTGTTGCCACCGCCAGGACAAGCAGCATGTAAAGACTCTGGTAAGCCACCAGCCACGTGGCAAGGTATAGATTTATAAAAATGGGTTAATTTAAGATAAAAGAACAGTTAGCAAGAAGCC